AGCCACTGTGGAAAACAGTACAGAGATTCCTCAAAAGACTAGGAATAGACTTACCATATGACCCAGGAATCCCACTCCTGGGCATATATCCAGAAGGAACCCTACTTCAAAAAGACACCTGCACCCCAATGTTCATAGCAGCACTATTTACAATAGCCAAGACATGGAAACAGCCTAAATGTCCATTGACAGATGACTGGATAAAGAAGATGTGGTATATTTATACAATGGAATACTATTCAGCCATAAAAATGGCAACATAACGCCACTGCAGCAACATGGATGTTCCTGGAGAATGTCATTCTAAGTGAAGTAAGCTAGAAAGAGAAAGAAAAATACCACATGAGATTGCTCACATGTGGAATCTTGAAAAGAAAAGAAAAGAAAAGAAAGAAGGAAGGAAGGAAGGAAGGAAGGAAGGAAGGAAGGAAGGAAGGAAAGAAAGAAAGAAAGAAAGAAAGAAAGAAAGAAAGAAAGAAAGAAAGAAAGAAAGAAAGAAAGGAAAAGACAAGTGAACATAAATACAAAACAGAAATAGGCTCATAGACATAGAATACAAACTTGTGGTTGCCAGCGGGGAGAGGGGTGGGAAGGGACAGACTGGGAATTCAAACTTTGTAGATACTGACAGGCATATGTAGAATAGATAAACACAGGGAAATATATATAAGATCTTGTGGTAGCTTACAGTGAAAAAGAATCTGACAATGAATATATGTATGTATATATATATATATAAAACTGAAAAATTGTGCTCTACACTGGAAATTGACACAACATTGTAAACTGACTATAACTCAATTAAGAAAAAAGTCATTTTCAGCAGAAAGCCCATACTTCTCAAGTGTCCCTGAGAATGAAGTAAGAGGAACAACAGTCACAGTTGGCAGGCGTCAGATGTCTTTCTTATACCTCCTCTTCAACTTGCTCCCAGCTCGTTCTTCTTTGGAGCATTCAGTTTGAAATCACTTCAATGTTTTTTAAACATCCCCACTGCTTTTCCAAACCATCCTTGAGAATATTATGACTTCAGCTTCATGAATACAAACAAAACGATTCCTGGGAGGTCCAGAGTTCACTCATCTGAGCCTCACAAGCACCAAAACACCAGACATATGTCGAACAAATACAGAGGAGTAGGCACCTGAGGTCTGGGGGCGACCTAGGAGCTACAGACAACTCACCTCTCAAAGCACCCCTTTCCAGGACAGAGGTTGCTCACATGCAGGAGCTAAGGAGGGGTGGAAGAGTTTAAACTGGGGCAGACACTAGGTTTCAGACAATCCTTCCAAGCCTCTTTTATTTTCTGAAGCATGTCTTCCTCTCATCAAGGAAGGCTTTCCTCTTGCTCCCAAGTCTCCGTACTAGACGCTCTATATTGTACACTATGAAACACAATCTTATTTGCTAAGAGACCTTTCCACCTTTCATTTCATGCACTGCCTGCTGCAGTGGCAAGACAAGTGATGTACCTTGTACCCTTGTTACAGGACATAGAGGCAGTGAAGCTGCAGAGGAGTTAGACAGTTCATCCTAAGGGCAAAAGGAAATGTGGCTAAAAAGCCACGGCGCCTGCCATAAGACAGCAGTTCAATTTCCTGGCATTCCTTACAACTCTCTGCCACATCCAGCAACTACCAGCTTCCACGGGAAAATCAACGCTTTTGCAAAGTGAATTAACAGACTTCTAAGGTCTTTCCAATCACACTCTTGGGGTTTTCCTTATAATTTAGAATGTCTTTAAAATGTTGTTTACTATAGCATTATGTCTTATCAGTTTGTTTCTTCTGCTTTGTACAAAAGGTCACTCTGACTTTTTAAGGACTGTTTGATGCTGTTTAATTTATAAATAATTATCCAGTGTTCCCAATAGCAAAAGCTATCAATGGGCCACTCAGCACTTGTTTTCGGGCCAACAAATTAATTCAGCAATATTGTATAATTACAAAAAGAATGTGAGTTCTCTTACTTTGGAAGTTTTTCCAGCATGGTCTTCAGTTCCTCGCATATGAGCTTCACAAGTCCGTTCTTAATGTTACTGTATGAAACATCAATCATGAAGATAAAGGCTGGTGGGTTGGGAGGTTTATTCTTCTACAGGAAAGCAAACAAATCATATACATATAATTATAAAGTGTATACATTTTAGAATCCAATTAAAACACCCAGAAACTCTTGAACAGAATCAGATGGCTCATTTAATATTTTGTGACCTAACATCTGTGTAATTAAATCATTTTCTGGAACATAGTCTCTGATGCTATAAAAAACAGAAAAATTGCTTATTTTCCAGGGTCTGACCTGAGACCCACTATGGACTCAGGATTATGCTATTGAGCAGGGAAGGTTCACTTCCGCAGCACCCGGAAGACCTCATTACCACAATTGTCCAAAGCTGAGTACAGGCTTGTGGCAGCCTTGCTTGTAACACGGCCTCATAGCAAAAAAGTCATAAACTGGAAAACTGTGCCCGCAAATAGTGCGAAACTATAATTAGCATCTGGTTTTGAAACTGTAGTAAAAATTAATTTGATACCGTCATTTTCAACCCTCTTCCTTCATAAGCTCCTTAAAGATATGAAATTATGTAGTAAGATTATAACTGTATACTTAAAAAACTGTACTGTATTATTAAATATGTACCTATTTCTTACATTTGTATGGCAACAAAATTGAATATTGGGCCTTCTATGTGTTTAAAGCAATCACTATAACATAAAGCAGCTGCTACATAAATGTGGCTGTGGGTCCCTTTACTGGGTGGTGTTCAAACAGCTTTTAGGAAGCAATTCTTCAGTTGGATCTCACAAAATATTTAGAAAACAGAACCACAGGGAAACAACTTGAGTAACTCACATTAGAGAATAAAGAATTAAGGTTAACTTAATTTTTAACTTTATGATAAATGACAAAACGGTTCTAAAATTGTATTTTAAATGTCACAATTATAAAATTAGATGATAATATCCCCAAATTATCTTACTAATTCATCCTCTATCCCCTACAGGGTTAGATGTAACAGTCTTCTAATGAACATCCTTCATTTAAAAAAAGAAGAAAAAAATGGCAGGACTTGAAAATTATCCACCTGAAAACTTCATGCTTTTGCCACATCCAAGATCAGACTAACAAAAAAAAAAAATAAATAAAAGAACTCTACCGCTGTCTGTGTGAGCTATGATTTTTATTGCAAATCATTCCTGAATCCCACCTAGACTAATTCATAACATAGACTTATGCTGATTTACTTAGAATGAAAATAGCAATAGTTTCCATTAATTAAACCAAATTAAATAACCAGATTTATGCTGACTTACTTAGAATGAAAATAGCAATAGTTTCCATTAATTAAGCCAAAACCTCTCTGTGATCAAACCAAACGTGCCTTACCATTCTTTCATTCTCCCCTAAATTCAGCACCACCAGCTCCCCACCATTTTCCACATCTCCAACCTACACGTTTCTTTGGAATGCTTCACCTTAACTTGTTTTCTGTGTATGCAAAACTAATTCACCACTCCTCTAAACGACAGACGTTCTCTTCCAATATCCCTGCGCTATCAATGACATCACCACACATCACCACACATCAAAGGCTTGAAAAGATGACACTGACTCTTCCTTTTCTTTCAATCACCAAATCCTATTGATTTATTCTTTCAAAATGCTTCTTTCACACATTTTACCCCATCTCAACTCTTAACCACCCGGAAGTTTGTCATCCTGTGCCCAGACATCTCTAATGGCTTGGTCACTGGCTGCCGTAATTGATGACTCTACCCATTTAATCCAGCTTCCTTTGTCCAGCCAAGCTTAACAAGTATGAACTCTATAAAAACCTGGTTACTGTGACATCTTACTAAAACTGCTTTTGGTTGCAAATGACAGTGATTTGGAATAAAATCTGGCTCTCATCCTCAATCTCTTTTATCTCTGCAGCTGTAGGCATGGCAGACGGCTTTCAATTTTTCAGCCGCTGAGGCACCGTGGTGTCATCCCCTTTCCCACTTCTCTGACCACTGTTTCTGTTTTTCATTTTCTTATCTTTCTCCAAAGGGCACCCTCTTCCCTTTTCTCACCCTGTGCTCCGTCACAGAATCTCACTTGCTCGTTTGTAACCAGCACCTCCACACAGGCGGCGACTCAAATTCTCTCCCCTCGTGGTCTCTTTTCAGAGCCTCTGACCAGCATTCTGATTAGCTATAGCACATCTCCCCATAAAGTCCTGCCAGCACCTTACACTCAAAATCATAGAAGTTAAGACAACATTTCTCCCACTATGCTGGTCTTTTCTATAAGGAACCTACAGAAAACATGATCCTCTAAAATAATGTAGGCTTGAAATCTCACTTTCTCTGTGGAATTGTCAGTCTCCCTCACTACCCACACCTGGTTCACTATGAAGTCCTTTACAGCTCCTTCTAGTTCCAGTACCCAAATTTAGACACCCATTTTCTTTCTTTAAAAAAATTTTTCTTTTCAATGGAGGTGCTGGGGATTGAACCCAGGACCCTGTGCTTGCAAGCCTGTGTTCTACCACTGAGCTGTTACCCTCTCCCTAAAATTAATTTTAACTGTGTAAAATACACATAATTTACCATCTTAACCGATTTTAAATGTACAGTTCAGTGGTGTGAAGTACATTCACACTGTGCAACCATCACCACCATCCATTTCTAGAACTCTTTTTATCATGCAAAATTGAAACTTTTGTACACATTAAACAATCACTTACCATCCCCGCTTCTCTCCAGCCCCTGGCAACCACCATTCTACATTTCTACTTTCTGTCTCTATGAACTGGACTACTCTAGGTACTTCAAATAAGTAAAATCATACAGTATTTGTCTTTTATGTGATTGGCTTATTTCACTTGGCATAATGTCCCGAATGTTCATTGATGTTACAGCATGTGCCAGAATTTCCTTCCTTTAAGGCTGAATAATATTGCATGGGATGTATACATCACATTTTGTTTATTCATTCATCCATATATGGATATTTGGACTGCTTTCATCTTTTGGCTATTATGTCTAATGCTATTATGAACATGGGTGTACAAATCTCTCTTTGAGACTCTCTTTTCAATTATTTTGGGTATATACCCAGAAGTGGAATTACTGGATCATTTGGTAATTCACTTTTTTTTTTTTGGTGATTCACTTTTTAATTTTCTGAGTTATTGCTTTCCTACTCTCATTTTCTCTTGCTTGAACTACATTAACTTCTAATATCTCCCCGCCTCCATTCTCCTTCCTCTCATTATACAGACGGCTGACCAAGGCACAATACAGATCACCATGCTACTGCCTCTGAGGACAGGTAGTTTGCTGAGTCCCCAGAGCCAAGCACAGAGCTTAGCACAATGGAGTGCTCAATAATGCTGGCCAAGTAAATGAATGTGTAGGTGGATGGATGGATGCATGGAAACAACTCCTTCTCTGCAAACTTTAATTGTCCTCATGGCCTACTAAATTAACAGATTCTTCCATGGCCTGGCACTTGAGGTTCCCCATAATACTCATTTAGCAAAATGTATAAAAACCTAAGAGATCAAAGCTATGATGTCAAACCCAGTAGAAATTAAAACGATGGTCTATTTCTCCAAACAATTTCTGAGCTTCACTTCCCATTATCCCCTAATACACATTCCTCCAACTAATTAAAGTGTTTGCCATTTTCAAAACATTTCCTACCCAGAAGTCACAATCTGGTGGGCCTGGGCCAAGAATTTGGGCAGAAAAAATATTTTGTTTGGCATAGTGCTTTTCAAAAATATTTGAATTTGAATGTGTTTGGGGGGAAAGGGGGACACACCCTCCACTTATCTTAGTCCCTATACTGGGTGCCCACCACTCGTCTACGAAGCCCACTGAGCCACTGAAGAAATCGCAGTGAGTGCAAATACCTCTGAGAAACTGCTTCTGCTAACATCCATCTCTCCTTCCATTTCCACATGTCCATCCTCAGCTGCTGGTTTAACCAGCTCAAGTGTCTCTCACTCTTTGAAGCCTTCCCATCCTCCAAATCAGAAATTATTGCTCCTCTGTTTTCTTACGGCACTCTGATTCCTCCCCTCTCACAGCATTTATCCTATTTGGGTTTATATCATAATTACATAATTTTCTTATCAGGTCTATCCATGGGAAGGACTCTGAGATCAGGTTCACCTTCTTGCTAATTTGGTATCACTCACACACATCGCCAAAGTGCCCTGGACATGCTGTGTGAATTAAAATTAAATGGAGAAACTACATTTTTATTTAGGGAAAAAAAAAAGGCCAGTTTGGAATGAGATTTTACATTTCAGGTACACTTTGTATGTAGATATGTTCTGTAAACTTCTAAAGTGAAAAACATTCAATTATGAGATAGGACTGGGTTTTTATTTTTTCCCCTGGGGGAACTCCATGGTGATTCTGTAAATACATGCCTACCTATGAAGAGTGTACTGATAGAGAATAGGGGTTCTGTTCTTACACACATGGCTTTCAGCCTGGCTCCATCACTTCCAGTATGTATGGCCTGAGGCTGGTATTTAAGTTCTCTAAGCCTCAGTTTCCCCACTTAATGGTGGTACTCACCACACGAGTTCAGTATGGGAACTAAATGATACAATATTTAGAAAGCACTTAGCACAGAGCATCACACCCAGTGAGTGTTCAATGAAGGCTAATTTTCTTATCTAAAATTGGTATTCAGATAAAATAAAATGAACAGGGAAAATGTGACTTTGTAATTCTCCTCTAAGTTTGTGCAGTGTTAAAAAATACACATACAAGTTAAATAAGCTCTTTTTCATCGTCCAAATCCCTAAGTCAACTCATTTATACTCTATTTTAATATATAATTAAGCTTGAAGATAGTCACAGCATTTTTTATTATGAACTCTACTTGGAATAATAAAAGGAAGATTGAGCTTAGGAAAACCTCTTCAAAATGTACGGTTTTTATCTGGTTCCTTGCCTGCTGGGTGAGATTTCCCATCAACTAGACATCTGGAACATTTCCAGATAACAGTTTGAAGATAACTGAGACTTTTGTTCCCAGAAATACATTTGACTCCCTGCCTAAGTTTCTACCCCCCCCCCCAAAAGCATAAAATCAAGATAATACAGCCTTTCTGGCAGAGCACTGGAAATTCATAGTTAGATTTACACTACAGTTGCAAAGATCAGTGAATAAATTTTCCATCACTAGATACAACGGCCTTATTACATTTAACTAACTTCAAATGTTTATGTTCTGCCTAATCATTCTCCTTCTGTCAATGGCAGTGGAGAAAAAATAAACTGTCCAAAAGTATTTGGTACTTTAGAACATGTTTTTTGCCTGAGATAAAGCACTTGCACCAAAAATGTTCTTATGTTTCCCAAAATATGTTCAAATATTACATTTAAGACTAATAACAGATTAACTTTCCTTTACTAAGTAGTTCTAGGGAATACAGTGAAAAATGTATACAAAACACTAGAGCAATTGCAGAAGTTATGTTAATTGAAAAACATTTTAAAATCCACTCAGTTGAAAAACTTCTAGTTAGGAAAAATGTTCTTTGTAACTTACATTCAGTGCAACATGGACTGGTCCCCCTAGCAAACATCTATGACGGAAATCTGTGAGTCAGAGGGTGTTTTCTGACAATTGGGCCTTAGGAGGCGCTCCTTTTTGGAAAGGGAAGTAAGTCACAATGACTTTGTTTCTTCAAGTCTATACCTGGTCCTTCATATACAAGCTGAAATCGGAAGTGATTACCCAGTAAGATATTTTCAAATCATTGAAGATTTTCAAAGCCCTGCAAGGTACCCATCATGATGTCACCAACACTGTCACTATGACATTGGAGACGGGAAACAGCCAGTCCTGGGAATAGCAACACACCTGCAAATTCATTCGCTCATTCACCCATTCACCCATCCAGCCAACCACATGCACTGATCAACTGCCCACCCCATGGCAGACGCTGTGGTAGATGCCGTAAAGACAGCTGGGACAAGATTCTTGTCTCCAAGGAGACCAGAATCCATGCAGAGGGAAAATATCAAAGGATTTAAGTTCTATGGGTATAACTGCTAAAACAGATATATGAAATTAATCCTATGGGAAAAAAAATCAGAAGAATTAGTAAATAACAACCTTGATGAAGTCAGAGAGGGTTGCATGCTCTCACACACACACATTCACATTAACTAAAATTTCAGCCAGGTATTAGAGAAGAAGTCGGGGTTTGCTGGGTGGGGTCCATACAGACGTATCAGGAGGATGGGAAGGCAGTCGGGTCAAAAGAATATCTTAGATTAAAGCATGTAGTTGAGCAGGGGAGTGATGAGTTCAGAGTATGTGGGTAAGAGTTTTGTACAACTGAAGACAGAGCTGAAATGGTAGTTTGGGGTCCAACAGCTACTGCTGCTCTGATAAGGAAACCTAAATTTTTTAATTAAATTTTTTAGATTATGGGGGGGGGTCTCATGGTTACATTTTAAAGTGAGGAAACCAGAGGCCAGGATCCCAGGCTGCTGAAACAGACTAAGGGAGATTCTGAGAGCCTTCAAGCAGTGCAGTGACAAGTGGAGCGGAGAAGGGTGATACAGAAGAAACACATCAACAGTCTGATGACCATACTGGTTGAGCTTTTGCCTTGGAAGGGAAATTTTTCTGAGATGATTGACAAAACAAATAAGGCAGAAGTTTTACATGGAACTGTTGTATTGAGGACCTAGCATATTCTATCTGACAGGGACATAGAATTAAATTATTGTTTTCTATTTCTGCCACCTCTTTTTAGTTTTTAAAAAGGATCACTGCAGTGGATGGGCTGGTTATTTAATTATGTTAACAGCCTAGAAGGCGTGGTCTGTGTCTTAGGCATTGCTCCATCCCCATGGCACCACCCAAAAGCTGTTTGTGAATCAAGAGTCAGTTCGTTACATATGAAAGTTATTCACTAGTATTTGACATCCATGTGTAAACACTTGAAGCCCTGGGAACACTTACTCTGCAGTAATCCAAAGTAGCAACATATTCATAAGATCCTAGAGATAGCTCTGGCTTCTCATAGTGGTCCAGTCTTCTTCCAATGTGGTCCAGATGTTGGAAATAGAATGGTGGAACTAATGAAAACAAAATAGGAAAGGAAATCTTTTGTTTTTATAACACAGACAATTTAGTAAGTTCTCAAAATTTATCATGGGAAGAAAGGAGTTAGCACGAGAAAAAAATATTTTACAACTAGACTGCAGTATACTCTAAATACCCACCATTAAAAAGCATGCTCGGAAAGAATGAGGGTTTTCTAAAATACCCATTTGATCCTTCTACAAGTTCTTGATGACAAAGACCGTCAATTATTTGGATAGAGAAACAGCGGATAAAAGTACTGGTGTTTTTAAGTTGTCGCAACCAAAATTTAATCGTCCCTATTTAATTACCTCTTTTAAAAGGAATCCTGGCTTTTCTATTTAAATTTTCACTGCATCAGCAAACATACATCGGTTATTTGGACTGTACTGTTAATTACAATATTTATTATCCTTTAATTAAGAGATGTCTTCAGCCGTGGGGAGTTCGCATGGTAATCTTTAATGTCTGGGCTTCAGAGTGGAGAAGATTACTGTATTAGGGAAAGACTACACCACTAAGATCTCAGCTGAGGAACTCTTAATTCGATTCAAATGTCTAAGAAGGTTAGTTCTGGCAAAGTCCTGGAAGTCATCCAACAGCACAGGAACACTTATGAGTCACACGCTGAACACTTGGACAAATATGGCCTGGCATCTCTGCGCAAACGAACTCCTGTTGCCCTGAGATTAATAGGGCTGGCAATTAAACCACTGACAACAGACGTATTTAGAATAACCAGCAATGCTCTGCTTTTCAGCATTTCATAGAAAACAACACTTCCATTTGTAAAACCACAGAAGCAATGACTTTTGTTTTAAAACCAATAGCTCAGTATTCTTTCTTTTTAGTTTTGAACTAACATGGATTATAACAGGACCGTTTTCTCAGTTTGGACTTAAAAAAAATCACTAAGCTTGATTTTTTTCTATTTTCTTATCACATTGTGGCCATTTCTTTTTAAACCTTTTTAAGATTCATATGTATGTGTGGATCTCTTGGAAAACTGTCTTGGGAAGATTACAGCAGTGGGAAACTGATGGTCTCAGCTGAGCAAAGAAAGTTATGAGGGTCTTAAACTGCTATTTTGTGACATTCAGATGAGATGCATATGCTGGTTCTAGGATGTATGCGTGGTCATTTCTACATCGTTTCTGTAATTTATTTTCATTCACACATCTGCATGTAATATGTGAACATTTTTCCACTTAAAATTAATGAGTTTTATATTTGTTAGCATTTAATATCATGTGTCATGTTTTATAAGCCAGAATTCAAGTCCCCCCATAAATTATGCACTGCCACACGACACTCATCTTCTGGCCTCACACACTTCCCACTGTGCAACCTCTGGACACTTGGAAGGGAAATAGAGTAGAACCATGTGACCACACCTGCTGGGTTTTCTCGAACCCTAACAAAGTCCTGTCTTCTTTAAACCTAAATGAAGAATGTAGCTGTCAATGTAAATAAATCTAAGGGAGTCTGGCTTCCTTGTAGGAACAAATATTGGAGTCTAATATGAATAACCCTATCAAAAATTGAACATGGAAGCTTCCTAGGAGTGGATGCCCAAGGGAGGGGAATTTATTGTCCAGAAATATAAGAACTCTGAGCGCTTTTCCTCTACCGGGAAGTGGCAGGGACTTTTAAGGCTCTGAGTTGACACTTTGGGTGTGAGGCCAGAGAGTCACACCAAATTAAAGATCCTAGATGCTCCAAGTGGATAGGTCCTGGATAAATTTCTGATCACCTTGCTGGAGAGCTGAGGGCTTGAGTGAAGACATTGAGATCTAGTGACCTTGGTGGAAGCACTTATCAAAATACTTCAGGGAGAGCCCTCTGCCTTCTTGTAACATTTTCCCCCAAACTAAGTAAGAGGGAAGTGCACTGTCATGGGGTCCCTGAGATCCAGGTCCCAAGACTGTGTGACAGCCAGATTCGGTGGCAGAGTCCATCCAGGATGAGAGATGGAATAAGATCTTCCTCAGAAAGAGAAGTAAGGGTGGAGGAGCAGCGAATCTGGTCTCACCACTAAACCCAACTTGTACCGAGTAGACGCCCCAGGTGGAGTAAGGAGAGAGACCTCCCACGAGGACCTTAACCCAGTCTTCGAGATGAGGCTGAAACCAATGAATCCGCTCCACAGCAAGGCACTTCCAAGACCTGACTGGAGGTCTTCGTGAGAAAGCCTCACCGTGTCAAGTCTCTGGCACTGGGAGCTGGGCAAAGCCATGGACTGTGATCAGGGGGCAGGTAAACAAGGGGACAGTATCACTCTCCCACCAGAGGACGAACATACAGGGAGCCCAGAGGCCATGAACGTGACGACACCGGCAGAAAGCTGTGCCTGAGCTCACAGGCCATCGGGGAGCAGCCACAGGAGACGTGGCTCCTGGGCAGAGCGCTATACACTCCTCAGATCTGGGACCTGCAGGGAAGGGTGTCTACAAGGATGAGAAGACGAGGAAAACACAGAAAAGACTCATGTTCTCATACTCATCGCACAGTTCTAGAAAAACTATAAATGTAAATGAACGTGGGGATGTTCACAGCCTGAGAATGAGCTTTGGTTGACACCAAAGAACTAAAAATAGATGTTATAAATATAACAAATGTAAGTGCTTTTGGCAAGCCTGAAGTTACTTTTCAACATCAGTGAATTCATATTGGAATGAAATTGAAAATATAGTGAATCTGGGGAAGCCCCTTGTTACGATGATTTTTTTCTTTGTTAGACAATCTGACACTCATGTTGGAGGGAAAAGAAATCTATATACATGTTAGAGTCCTTAGTGATACCTGAGCTTTTCCTGAATACTGATGAATTCACATTCAAAAATAACTGGGCGGAATGGTGAAAAAGGGAACCATCTCTCAAGTTTATCATCTGCAAACATGGATCAATATAGATAAAAGAAAGTTCTTCTTTATAATTTCCCTGAAAGGAAACCAACCAGAACACACTCAGTTTAGGACATCCAAGCCCCCCGGAGTCTCATATGAATGCATGAGTTCCACAGGGAAGTTGCTATGTTTCTCATAAAACTCCTAAGTAGGGAAGTCATTTCATTTCCCAATTCCTCTCCACAAAGCCTCAGTCAGAGGCAAAAGGAAATTTTACCTCTTCTGTCTACAGATGATAAACCTGGGAGGCTGTTTCTTCTCTCATCATTCCTTTGAGTTATTCTTGAAGGTGATTAGGAAAAGTTCCGGTGTAACTAAGAGCTTTAACAGGTCTATTTTTTCCTGAGCTAAGAAGTACAATACGTTCCGTTTCCCTGAGAGCATGCGTTGGCCTTCCTTACCGTCATTCACGCAGCTGCAGAATCCACACTGGTACCTCCTTCCTCCTTCAATGAACTGCATGAACGGGCACATGTAGGCTTTGCATCTGTTGCATCTGACTGGTCCGGTCTCGCCATGATTCACCAAGTAGAGGGGTGTCTACAGGAAGCAAGTGAAGTAAGAGACAGGTGCACATGGGATTTCCAGGTATTTCAGAAGTCCTAGGTGTTAACTGTAACTGGAAAACTCTTCTAATGGGCTCGTTAAAGAACTCAACCCTTAGCGTTCACCAGGGGAGTAAGGATGCCTCCCTGGATATTCAAGGCAATATCCAAACAGAAATGAATTTAACTGCACATCTAATTTATAAGCATACACTCATATTAATGTATATGTGTGTATGTATATTTACCTACGTGTGTGAAGACAGGAAGAGAAAAAATACAATGATGGTAATAATACTTAACAAAGCTTATGCTGAAGATGTCCTGGACAACTTGTAACACATATTTCGCTAAGTTTGTTCATTAACTGTAAATAAAGAAGGGAACTGGGTCTGATTTTAAAGGCTCTAGTTTGCACAGCAGTATGCTGTTTAGACAGTTTCATCGCAGTATACAAAACGTATCTTCAAAAATGCAACTGTCCGAAGACGTTCACTTATTTAGGCAAGGAGCCTGATTCTGCCTTTTCCGTTTCTTTATCCCATGACACAATGTCTCACGAAGGACTCTTAAGGTGGCTGGTCAGGCTTTGCCAGAACAAAACAATAAATATTTCAGCTGCTTCTTCCTCATAAATATGCGTGGAAACCATAACACATCTTCTGCAGCTTGAAAGTTAAAATGCTCAGCAGTAGAAGTCTGCCTTGTTTCTCAGCGCTTCTGGCTCTCAGAATAAAACCACAAAGATTCTTCTTATTTTTGTAAATCTCCTTAAAGATAACATGTCTAGAAAAGCTTGACAACTACCGGGTTTGGCACATCAAGTAAGTTTTCCTTTCAAGAAAAAGGCGTAAATAAAGCTGACTGCTCTTTAATGGAGTCAGACACGCAGAGCGGGAGGAAAGTGGCGATGAGGTGGGGCCATAAGGCCATTTTCTGCTGTTTTCTTAGGGGAGAAAAAAAGAGAGGGAGAGAGATCTACTGTTTGTCTTGCCTATATGTTCAACATGAGAACTAATCCACTACTGAGGTTTCAGAAATGAGTTGTGAGGTCTCAGAGAAGAAAACAAAAAACAAAAAACAAAAACCAGGTAGTATAATATACAAAAGAATCAAGGAAAGGATGAAAAACAAATGTATTCAGAATCACTCCCTCTGCACTGTCCTCTCTCCCCTCTTGCCTCCAGGACCAGAGATGGACTGGATTGTCTTGTTTCTGGTCTCTTCTGATCTACAGCATGGGTGTCGCTCTGGTGTCCCACCCGTAGGGCTGTGACAAGGAATCCACATGTGGGACAGAGTACTATGCCTGCACACATTATTGGATATGAGATAACTAACTTGCTATCAGATCTGTACAGAACCACCTTTCCTCTCTCAAAACCACTCAGCTCAGGAGAGCGTGCATATTTAACAGCAGTTAGAGACAGGCTTGAGTTTCTAAAGGTGTTTATTAGTAAAAGTATTTAAATTACCTAATTTGTTAGTGTAACGCGTTATTGTAAAAATGACCTAGAAGATAGGGAATCTACCTTTCAAGAACTTCTGATACAATCTGATGGTTAAAAAAAAGCTGAGGCACAGTATCTGAAATATTTCTTCAAAAATGCAACTCTGAAGAAATATGTAATAATGTTCACTTATTTAGGCAAAGAGGCTGACTCTGCCTCTTCTGTTTCTTTATCCCATGACACAGTGTCTCACAAAGGACTCTCAAGGTGGCCAGTCAGGCTTTGCCAGAACGAAACAATAAATATTTCAGCTGCTTCTTCCTCATAAGCACGTGTGGAAACCATGACACGTCTTTCACAGCTGGGAAGTCGTAGTAGATTCTAAAACCATTCGAGGAGTCTGATTGAAATACACATATACATATTCAAACGCTGACATAAATAACACTTTTCAAATAAAAATTTCTTGTGTGAAGAGTATAAAGTGATAAATGTGTAACCTCTTCAACTGGTAATAGTAAGAAATAATCTGAGGGGACAAAAGAGAAGCAAACAAGATACAGGTGCCAACAAGGGGTTCTTAAGACAATGAATGGAGAATCAGAATGAGAAGTGAAAGATAATAAAAATCTAAGGATAAGGTAGCTTTTTCTGGGTAAAAAATCCAATCATCGATCATGACTTTGGTTGCTGCTCTGTTTTACAAATTCAACCTCTGAGATCAGGAGATGCTTTTAAGAAGAGTTACGCTAGTATTAAAGTCTGCAGTTTGCATAAACTCCAGCCAAGTTTACTTCACTCATCCTTTTATTTTCAAAGAGTTCAAGGACTATAATCAATTCCCTGAGATACTTCAGAAACCAAAGCTGATGCAATTATTTGCTAGACAAAGCAGAGGTAATGGAAGGAAAATTAACCTTATTTTTACTGATATGATTTACTCAAAGGCAGGCCCAGCCTAAAATTACTGAAATTGTCGGCCGCTAACACCTAAGCATTCCAGTCCTGGCAGATTCAAACTTGCAGAACTGAAAAGGAATGTCTAGGAACAAACTGGTGTCGAGTTATGACTGTATTGAGGCTGTTAAACACACTTGAATTTAATTGTTTTCTATTTTCACTCTTTTGGAAATTGGATGATGGATCAGTAAGGAGGGTCTTCAGACAACTGAGGTGACAGTAAAGAATGTTAAAAGTTTTTGAACTGTTTACATTTTCTTTTTGGGTTTCTAAATTCCACCGCCTTGTTTCATCTCTCTCAGGCCGTGCAGAAAACCATCAGAGGGTTTTCTTTGCTCTCTCCAGATGTCTGCTTATCTGCTCTCCAGTAGTGTGCAGGAGCCCAGAAAGAGCTAGTCTCAATTTTCTTCTGAGTTCAACTTTACTGTATATGGCTTTTTTAAAGAAAACAAAAACAAAAACAAAAACTCAATGACTTTCCAAAAACTACGTTTTGTTTACTTCTTACCAAGGCATTGTATCATACTTACCTCAGAAATGTTTTCACATTTTATAATCTTGTGTGTAAATGTGCTTTAATCTTTTGGCCTCCAGTATATCCCTGCCGGCTCTTCCTTTTCTGTTCTTCTCTTAAATGGAAAAAGTGAAAGGATGGAGAGTCCAGCTCTAAAACCCTCATCTGGCTATTCCTGGCTCTGGTCCTGTGTGGCATGAGTTTACATAACACGCAAGTGATGGGGGTGCTGGGAAAGAAGCAGGGGAGACTAATACCTGAACCTTTTGATTATACTTTGGAACTACAAGGGTTATGCCGAATATCTTATTGGCACTAAATTTTAATTAAGATACTTCAATTGAATAAAACCTACCTCTTTTTTGTGCACATGGACCACAGTCAAGAATTCAGAAATTAGGTTCAGTGTTAGAAGTTCTGGTTCTTATTCCATGTCAAAACAGTAGACAACAAAGTATATCAATCAATAACTCCTTGGCACTACTAATACATTGTTTGAAGTCTTCCTATATTTATATACCATCAGTTTCCCTGCCATTCTCTTTAACATCTGTGCAATCAGTGCCAGGTTTGTTGTGTGACTTGGTAGGACATACAGCCCAGGAGCATAGAAAGACATTAAACAAACAATAATGCAAATATGCAATTAAGAGAGCAAGGTAGGGGTAGAAAGGATACTTGGGAAATCATCACTAATGAAAGCAATGTTAAACTGTTCACAGATTGTAATCCAAAACAAAAATAGATGCTCAAAGAAAATGAGGCGCAACCTAGAATGATCCCACGGGGGAGAACTCTGATAAAGTTTGCAGTCTGTGCGGTTTGGTCTTGGCATCTCTATAACGAAGAAAAGTCTGAATACACCAGTCTTGCTATATAGTCTATACAGAAGGCAGCTAAATCCTACAAACTGATTATACCGGATCTGGGAAGTTGAAAACGAAGGTGTTCTTACAGCACAGATCCAGTAGGTGGCACTGTACAACTGAAAATTGAAACAAAACGATGTAATTTCCTTAGTAGATAATAAAATAATCAAGGTAATTATGCTACACTCATTTTATGTAACTATAATAACATTTAACTGAACTTATGTCAGTTCTTACAATCACAAAATTAAGAAACCTATACTTTTCTTGAAAAATCCTTTGATAATGGTTAAAACTATTCCAGGTGAAACAAAATGTGATTAAACATGAAATGCAGGCTATTTTTAAGCATCAGTTAAATTCCAGAGTGTGCCAAATTTATTGAATATAATAGCCAAGAAAAAACATATTTTAAAAGCTTCTAATCCTCTCCCAACTTTTCCTTGACTGCACGGATGGAAACAGGCATCTTAGGGACAGGCAGCCCCCCAAGCACAGCAGGCAGGCTGACGGTGGCCCAGGAGGCGGAGGCACCAGGATGCCAGCGCTCCCACTGCCAGCACCCATCCCCTCCCTCCACATTTGCATCTGAGGTGTGAAATAACCAAGCAAAGACAATGAAGCTGCATCCTGCTGCTAAGCAGTGCACGGTGATGGAGAAACGATTTTCTAAAGCAGACACCTAGCTTCCTGCTGGAACATCAAACCACAGGCAGCGGTGTGAATGAGGGGAGAGACAGGACAGAGTGGCCAAATCGGAGACTGCAGGAACACCTTGACTTGGGAAGGTATTCCTGCCTATCTCTAGAATATTCCCAGGTAAAAACTGCCTCTCTCCCTGCTTTCTTCTTCCATTGCCCCACTCACTGCCCACCTCATTTTTCAGGACCCGAGTTCACCTAAGTTCCAATACACACACACACATACACAAGCTCACCCTTTAACCACCCACTTTCCCTTGTCTTCTAGTACGTGTTTACTGATTTTGAAAAAATACACATTTCCCATTTTCCATGTCTACTTCTCTTCCCTTTTTTCTCCCCTTTTATTTCCTCCATTAGAAGTCTCCAGGAAAGTAATCAGTGTCCTGGGACTACACAGTTGTTCCCCATGTGACCAATATTCTACTTTACTAAATGCCTGAAGGAATACCAAGCTAAACAGTGACCAGTCATGGGAGATATATTTTTGCCTACCGTGA